TTTATTATTTTTTTTTACAAAGCTAATTATAATATCTACTAACCTGTCCCATAATCCAACCAGACTCATCTCAACAATCCTGAATTTGTCTCTCTCTCTTGCTCTGTGTCTCTCTATTTGTTTCATTCTCTCTGCTCATCTCTCTCACTCACTTTTTCTGTGTGGGAGATAGACAGGAAGAGTCTGGGAGCTTTGTGATTACTGAACCGGCCAGCCGTGATGTACTCCTTCTGCTCTGCCATCACACACGTACTGCCTGAGCGAACCAGGAAGAGTCCTTTTGTCGAGATGAAAAGGAAAACTCTGTAACATTTGATTTGGTTGCTTTACATGCTTGTCGAATGCAAATTGGATGAAATTGGTGCATGCTGTCAGACTTCTGCGGATGATTCATGCCGCCCTATAAACGCAGCCTTTCACGCTCATTTTTACCTACGACAGGATCAGACGCACCTGCAGGTGGCGCTGTTCGGGCCGGGCTAGATCGAATGCGTCTTGGCTGAATCCCTTGGAAATGTCAAGTCGAAACAGTTCAACTTTCTCATCAGCTTTCGCCAGACAGAGGTAGAGAGAAAGAGAGAGAGAAAATTACATAAATAAAACGAGGCAGGTTACAATCAAGGGTGGGAATTGATTTCAGAAGCCTATTCAAGCAGAACACCACAGAGAGCTAGCACATCAAAACAGAACAGTTTTGATTAGCTTGACATGCACAGAAGCACGTGAACACACACACACACACACACACACAAATGTGAACATGCACAAACTAAGACTGCCAAGCAATGAGAAATTTGAATGTGGACATTCACTTTGACTTGCATTTTTCCAGGAAATTCTTCATTTAACATTCACTGGTACGACTTCATTTAGACTCCGAGATACAACATCTTGTCAACATTTTCTGCTAATACTCATTTTATATGGATAAAGTGCATTTAGAATTAAAAAAAGCCAAATATCGTGCCTATTATGCAGTCACTGTATTTTTACAGCTCTCTGATGCTGTTAGTTATAGAAAATTTTATCCCTGATTTTATCCCACTTCTTCATCCATTAGATTATAGTCATAAGAAACTGATACGTTAAGCAGCCATGGCTCTTATCAAAAAAAGAACTACATTAAAATCACTTGTTATCTAGTCTAGAATCTGTTTAATGATAATTGATAATACAATTATAGAAAAAAACAATATTAATCCATTAGTTACTGAGGCACATAATTACAAAAGACCTTCTTAATGTTTCTTCAATAGCAATGAGATTCAACTGAGAGCAAACTGATGTTTGCTTGTGCTTCCCAAGAAATCTCACATGTGCCTCCTTTAGAGTTTCATAAAAGATCTCAACAATTTCTTAAACTGTGCTCAAATCTTTCAAGTTCATTTCAATATGAAAGAAAAACCCTCAAATTTTGGCCTGCTACCCACATTAATTGTAGTCTTACCGTACAGTGTTACAAAGATTGTTTCATACAGTGTTGTTATTGTTAAATAAAATGAAAACTATTAAAATTATGTATATATATTAGAAACTGAAAATAAATCTGAAATAAAACAAATATTAGATGAACAAATTAAACTTAACAGCAGAAATAAAACAAACAAAAACAGAACTTAAGCTGAAGTACTAAAATTACTCGAACTAAAATTAAACTAAATTAAAGCTATATTGAAATATTTACAAAACAAAAGCTTAAAATTGACAGTGCACATAGTGAAATTACTAAAATGTACATAAATTTAAATTTGAAATATAAAAATAAAAGCCAATTAAAAATCTTAATACATTTTTTATAGTATATAAATAACCCCCCCCCACACACACACTTTTTCTTTATCATTTATTTGGGGTCTCCTAAATTTTTAAGAGAAAGATCTAGGACGAAGCTGGCTCTTAATGAAAAGTAGATGACTCTGATCATTCTTGTTATCTGACCTGCTTCAGTTTAAATACCGGATTCAGACATGGGACAAATGCTGCTCTAGCTTTTGTAACGGTTGCGTTATAGAATGTGACGTGAGAGAACATAGAAAGACAGATTGTTGAAATTGAAAAATCACCTGGGCATTCAGAGCAAAGGCAGCAGGGACTTTGGCAGACGAAGAAAGAAGGGATCACAGCACAAAGGTGAGAAAGAACAGAAGAGACCCCTTTCCCATGAGCGATGAGGTATAAACCTCAAACGACTGTTTAACTATTCACATTTTTATTTTTCATGAAGGTGACTGACTTATTCATGCCATGTAGCGTCTTTGGGATAATTTTGTAAGATCTGATGTGACAAGGTCTCTCTCGGCTTTAGTGATCTGCAGCTCTTGAGCTCTAATGTTCAAGCCTTGCAGCTTTGGAGAGCGATACCTACTGATTGGTTGCCGCCTGCATCTGATTGGACGAGCACAACAGGCCAGACGCGTATTTTTTATGTTTTAAATAGGGCTGTCAAGTGATTATTCAAAAAAAAAATTATTACATAATGTGCCGATTAATTAATCAAATGAATCTCAAATTAATGAGATTAATTAATTAACATGTACATCATGTGCCGATTAAAGATAAAGTTATTATTAAAGATAATAGTTATCATTGTATTGCTGAAAGAAAGCACAGTGTTTGTTATAGTAACACATGCAGCTTTCACGTGCATCTGACTGACAGAACCGCGCTTGTATTTCAATGTTATGGATATTGAATGGATATTGCTGTTAATGTTATGGATATTTTAGCAAATAGTTTGCTCCATAAATTCAGTTCAGCAGCACTAAGTTGAAGAGGGTAAACTTTATCACTCGAACTGAATCTACACATACATTTTCTTGCTCCATCCAAGCAATAAATACGACCCATTTCAGGAGCTGGCAAAATTATATTTTAAAATCAGTTAGGGCTATAGAAATGCATATTGATATTTACAAGTAAATCTCCATATTATGCGTAGGCTAGCCTACATCTAGTTTTGACGTCCATCAGGGGGGTTAAAGCCTTCTTTAGGGGGGTCAGACCCCCCCAAACCCTCCCGTAATTCGCACCCTGGACAAACTACTGAATAACAGAGAGATACAGTCCTCTGCAATCTTTCCTGCATGTAAATCCTTTTCTGTGACTGAACTAGCAAATATATGTCAGATAAGGACGTAGACGTTTTACATAGGTTTTACATAATTTAGTCTTTTTTATCATTTGACAAAAATGTCTGTGGCTTTATTTTTGGACTGCTATGTGATGCTGTTAGTTACAGATAAGTGAACTGAAAAATTTTAAATCCATTAGATTGCAGTCATTAAAAAAAGATCCATAATTCAACCATGACTTATATCATAAAGACCCTAAAAAAACTCAATTATCATCTTTGTAAGAGTTCTGAAGGACAACTGCAGTAAAGTGATAGGGAAAATAGCATATTATTATTTAAAAAATAGCGTATTATTAATTTTTATTAATGTTTTTATGAAGGAAACGTATGTAAATTTAGATGAGCCAAATGACAATCTGTATATCAAATTGTAATCTATCTATCTATCTATCTATCTATCTATCTATCGATCTATCTCTCCGTCCATCTCAACAGGATGTTAGTTGTTAAAATGGTTTCATAATAGTCATGATACACCTTTTTCCATCATGTCTGTTGTTGGTGAAAAAAAAAATTATAATCAATTAACATCGCCAGTAAGTCAGTTTCATTGACTCGATTAATTCTGCATACAATGGAGGTCAAAGATCGCGAGCAGTATCTGCTGTTAGATTATGAGCCGCAGGGATTAAAATTAAGATCACTGAGATTTTGTGGGTTCAAAGAAGGGAGAATTATTTAGCATCTGTTCAGTTGCCCAGCTTAACAGCACCGCCATGTTCTGTCTCACTCTGTGCTGATTCAACCTATCCATTTATGTATGGTTATATATAGATCCATCACGTATGCTATGGGTGGATCCATCATCTATTCTCCAACCTACAGAGACCAACAGACACATGAGAGAAAAATCACTCAGAGATCTATTTTCAGAGGAAAAATGCAGGAGAGCGAAAGAGGGATGGCAGAATGCTTGCATAAAGATTGAAGCAAGGAATGTCTATAGCCAGAGCGAAAATGTGTTTATTAAATTTTCATTCAATCCAAAAATGCTTTCATCTGACCCAGAGTGCGCTAGAGACAGAGCTCTCTGCATGCCTCGATCACACTTCTCTCTCTCTCTATCACTGTTTCAATGTGTTCTAGTGTGTGAGGTCACGAAGGGGTCAAGGGACAAGTAGTAAACAGAAAATAACCAGAAAATACAGTATTAGCAATATATGAAACTATGAATATATTGACAGTTAGATATATTTACAATATATACAATATGTACATTTTAAAATATGTAGATTTTATTTGATATAGACACTATTTTACTATTTTTCTTAATTTTGGTGTAAGATTCTTTTTATGTTTTTGAAATATGTCTCTATTAATATTATGAATTATTATTACAATTTAAAAATAACTGTTTCCTTTTTGAATATATTCAAATGTAATTTATTCCCTGTGATGGCAAAGCTGAATTTTCAGCATCCTTACTTCAGTCTTCAGTGTCACATGATCCTTCAGAAATCATTCTAATATGCTGATTTGCTGCTCAAGAAATATATAGATTTTTTATTATTAGCAATGTTGAAAACAGTTGTGCCATTTAACATTTTTATGGTAACAGTAAAAAAGAACAGCATACATTTAAATTAAAAATATTTTTTGTAACATTAATTTAATGTCCTTGTTGTTGAATATAAAAAAAAAAACACTAAATCCAAACTTTGAACAGTATAGATATGTGACCCTGGACCACAAAACCAGTCATAAGGGTCAATTTTTCGAAATTGACATTTATACAGCATATGAAAGTTGAATAAATAAGCTTTCCATTGATGTATGGTTTGTTAGGATAGAACAATATTTGGCCGAGATACAACTATTTGAAAATCTGGAATCTGAAACTGCAAAAAAAAAAAAAAAGATATTTTAATTCATAGATAAAAAAATTCTCAAGATATTGAGAAAATCGCCTTTAAAGTCCAAATGAAGTCCTTAGCATTGCATATTACTAATCAAAAATTAAATTTTAATATATTTACGGTAGGAAATTTACAAAATATCTTCATGGAACATGATCTTTACTTAATATCCTAACGATTTTTGGCATAAAAGAAAAATCTATAATTTTGACCCATACAATGTATTTTTGGCTATTGCTACAAATATACCCGTACTAATTATGATTGGTTTTGTGGTCCTGGGTCACATATTAATAAAAATATTTAAAAATCATCTTCTGTGGGCTTTCGTGGCCATCTTAATGTCAACTATGAAATTCAACTTCTTTTTTCAGTCTAAAGTGTTTTAGCAGCTTAGAGTTTAGCTGGTTTAACCTGATTTATTTGGTCTTGAAATTTGACTAATCTGGGGTCCAGCTTGACAACTGTCCAAAACCCTCTAGAACCACTGAAACAGCTTGTTGGACAGCAAAGACCAACAAACTACCTTCGGCTGGATTAGGCTTCTTTTTTTTTCCAGTATGTATCACTTGCACAATATCAGTAAATCAGCCTTGTGGTGAAACACTGTTGTCATTACAGATAATGAACATGCCTGATGGCGAAAAAAATCAGTGCTGTGTTTTGTCGTTGTGTAGTCATGCCTCCCCGATTAAACAGTTGTCTTGAGGTGCTCTCATTGGCATGTTATTGTGAAGTCCTCGGTTTAGAACAAGCTCCCTAATTAAGCCATAATTAGTTAGATTGATCAAGCGTCCAGTCTTTGCGGCTCAACTGACCCAGTTGGAAATGGAAAAAGTGGCAAAGCCCAGCTAAAACTGCCTGATTCGGTGCAGAAGACAGTGTAAACCCCCTGGGAACACATTAAAGTCAGGAATGAGATGACATTATGTCCCATGGTCAGCGGGAAGCCTTCAGCAAAGGCTTTAATCCTTCGGGTGAGATTCTTAAATGTGGCATTGGAAGAAAATAGGAGGATATTAGATGCCTCGCATGACATCGACCAGAGCCCAGCAAAGACGTGGCGATCTATAACATCTGGCCATCAATAGCGCATACACAAAGACACAGCTTTCTTAGGCCTCATTGGAGGCCTTACTTCTGTTCGGCTTTTGATTTATTTGTTTCCTTGTTCTCTCGTTGATCATTTCATTAACTGCTTGATGCAAATACCAACAAAACCCCCCTGCAGGGACTCAAATACTGAGGCTGATTACCGCTTGTCAACCACTGCTGAGAAAACACACACAAACAAGATTTTTATATTTTCTGAAGAAAATATGAAGAAAATAAGTGGTACTGTATGTGCATGCAAAACTCACTGGCATGACGACAGAGTGTTTTGGGTGGT